CAGTTAAGTCACGGTTAGGGCAAGGGAGAAGACTACGGGGACGCAAAAGGGCCTAGGATTTCGAATAACCAAAATCAGCTCTTGCGAAGCACTGGCGTCATCGTTCCACGGGTTGACGAAAGAAAACCGCCTTGACGTCAACATGCAATGGCATGATAGAAAGCAGTCAATGATAGGTGCGACAACGCCACCTTTCTCAAAGTGTGACACGGGCTGCTAAGAGTTTTTTTTTTTATTTCTAACTATGCAACCGAACAATAACAATCTGTTAAAATTCCTTTTTCCGAATCTTCTTTTAATGCTGACTTTTTAAGTATTTAAGTAGTATGAATATCTAGCATCCTGGAAGTGGTTATCGAATAAGTGGTAGTCTTAGCTACCGTGTTCACCCAGACCTCGTTGCACTAAATACCCTAGCTCAATGCTTTGGACTATTTGGTAGTGACATGTCTCCTTTCTGACTCACGCACAACGGTGGTTTGGGATAACGCCCTAGTCATTAGGCGGTTTTGCCTCCTCACAGTCGAATGCGGCAACTCCGCCTTGCGAACTAGGCTGACTTACACGCAAATGCCGACCGGCCAATCAACACGCTGGTCTTTCAGTTTGTCCAAAAAGGGCCTTTTCTTAAAGAAGGCATAAACGCTTGGAATGTTATTCCCTTTGAATAAATCAAAGTTAACAGATTTATCATTTGGAGTTATAGAATCACTACGGTAGCGCGTTTACTTCATCTCGCCTCCTGTTTCACGCGATGTTTGGGCGCTGCACTGGCTGGGCTGCTTGGTCGCGGAAGTACTGGGTTAGGAGGAGCTGTTGTCTGAATATGGTCTCCCGTAATTCGTTAATCATGGCAATCAGCGCCTGTTTGGAGGTGGCGAGATTCGCCCTCTGCTGACGGAAGAAGGCATCCTGTTGCCAGTTTGTGGGCACGTCCATTGGCTGCGTATCCATGGCAGGGCGCTGACCAGCCGCTGTGGCAAGAAGGCAGAGGACTCCTAGGAATATTGAATTCATTCTAAAAACAAAGTACTGGAAGCGATGTATGTGTTTATATAGGCGCACTGCAAGTGGGTTGAACAACGGTGCTGGAACACGTACTTGACTCCGAGGAATCGTTCCACTCTTGAGCCCTCAAGGACGTGAACTTCGGACCAGGCGGTCCTCACCCGTGCACATGAAAGGTTGCGATTTCAAGGTACAATTCGTATTTACTTCTCATTTGTGGGAGCGTGTAGGCATTACAAATGCATCCCTCCTCCTAAAGTTTGAGTCTCATTGTGGAAACGGTTATAAAAGGGGTTGATTTTCAATTCTGAAGTGTCCGTTCGCGAGCAAATCAATTTAATCCGACGTTCTTAAGTTGCGCAATCACTCAAAAAAAAAAACGCTTCAAGAGAGGAATTTTCAAAGTTATTAGATTAGTCGGCATGGCTGTCGAATTTACATACACTGCAAAAAAAATAATAATTATTATTATTATTATTTTGGACGACCCTAACGGCCTCCGCATTTTACTTTAGAAGAATGCACTGTCCTCCTCTTGTTTAAAAGCAATCGCACAAAAGGGATTCTTCAATGCCCACCGCGGACGTGTTCCTGACTCCCAAAGTGTGGTACCGACTAAAATTAAATGTTAAGCTTCTTCACTAGTCGAAAGGGAGACGCTTTATCGTGCTAGTCACAGAGTGGAGCTTCTGGTCGTATGACGCTGTGAAGAGGTTGATGAAGTGCTGCAGAAGCGTGAATGCGGAGACACTGTCCAACCATGGAAGGTGTTTCGCCTGTCCAAGCGATTTATCCGCTTCATTGAAGGCAGAATTTGTTACTGTAAATGCAAGACAATTCTTATTCACTTCTCACAAAGCTTTCCAGAAGGCACAGGAAGGATGGAACTCGAAGTGTCGCCAGTGAGTAGGGCGACCTCTGGCAGCCCTAAGAGGCCATCCTGCCTAATTGGGTCGCAACCAGTCAGGCGTTTTGGATAAGAACAAACGATAGAGGAGGCAAATTTTTTTAATAAAAAGCAAAATTGGAGGTTTTAATCACCAAAGCCTCCGAAAACAAAAGCCTGGTGATAATATAGAAGGTAAAAATCGTTTAAGCGCCTACTAGTTGGTGGAAAGATTTAATTCGTGCACCGCCGACAAATAAACACTGAAAAAAAGACGCAACATCAATTTCAAGTCACGCTTTAGATGAATCGCAGTGATAGAGGCGGAAACATCAAAAGCCACATCACATTTTGTGGGGCGAGAGGTACGGTGGGCAAAAAATTGAGCCGTAAAGCGGCAGCACTTATGGTAGCACTCGACGGCATTCACTTTTGTGCGAGGCTGGTCGTCGGTGGAGGGGGAGGAGGAGGCGCAAACATTGTCGGTGCCAAAGTCAACTGTGTGGGGCGAGGCTCAAGCCGAGTGGAGTGGAGCCTCG